AAGACAGTTCCTAACAAATATAAGACAACTCCTGACGAATATGCTAAAGAAGTTGAAAATGACGACTAAGCAATTCTATACCATGCGTAAACTGTCATGTAAGGTGGCATGTAGTCTTTACTTTGTCCCGTTGTTTGCGTATATCCTGAAACGAAATGTGTATGGTTTCCTTCTCCCTGAGTGTCATCCCAGTAACAATTTATAGCAAACTTAACGTCGTCTTTAACATCATATCCTTTACCTTTTGTCATTCCTGACCAATCCCAATATCTATGCTTATGCCAACCTGCTTGAGATGTACTTAAATCTATGTAGTGACTGTGCGCAGGTAAGTTTTCACCTGAAATCGTTTTACTTCCACCTGTTTCCTTTGAAGAGTTTGCACAATACAAAAACCTGTCGACTATTTGTTCCCATGCACCAACACCAAACATTACTTGAGGACCTCTTGCTTCCATAGATGTATAAATAGAACCTACTGGGTTCATTAAATCAAACATATGAGATATTATAGGATTGTCTCTTTTGAACTTAAAATATAGTGCAACTATTTCAGGTTTCTTCTGGTTTGTCAGAATATTTTTTATAATATAATCTTATGTTTTCAGGGTAGGTAAAGTCTTGACTATAATATTTATTTCTGTCATCTTCATAATAGTATACTATTCTCGTTTTTTCTATTGCATTATATCTTTTATATCTATAAAAATCTAAATATAATGTTAGCTTTTGTTCATCTACATGTGGTGTTCTCGTCATCTCCATAGTCATAATAGTATGGTGCTGGAGCTGGGTCAGGCAATGTCATATCTGCCATTTCATAAACTCTTAAATATTTCTTTTGTTCGTCTCCATATATGTTTAAGTAGCAGTTGTTGTCTAATGGAACTTTAACTTGTGTACCATCTTCTTTTTATAGCTTACATACATTTCATTGTTATTTTTCGGAATGAGTTTATACCGTGTACCATTTTCTAAGGACTGTACCAACTGCCATCTAAAATATTTGTTTTCTTCATTGACAGAAAAGTCACCAACAATAGTTTCAATATTTTTTGTTCCAACTAAACTTTGGTATATTTCATTGACATATGTTTTATCTGCTTTATTTTCAAGGCTAACGTTTAAGTCTGTTATTTCAGAAGATGTATGTGTATGTCCAACGTCACTTTTCCTGTTTAAGGTTTCTTGTAAGTTTGAATATTTGCAATGGTATGTGTATGTCCAACGTCACTTTTCCTGTTTAAGGTTTCTTGTAAGTTTGCAATATTTGCAATGGTATGTGTATGTCCAACGTCACTTTTCCTGTTTAAGGTTTCTTGTAAGTTTGTAATATTTGCAATGGTATGTGTATGTCCAACGTCACTTTTCCTGTTTAAGGTTTCTTGTAAGTTTGTAATATTTGCAATGGTATGTGTATGTCCAACGTCACTTTTCCTGTTTAAGGTTTCTTGTAAGTTTGTTATTTCAGATATAGTATGTGTATGAGTCTTTTTAGAATATTCGTTTTCAGCTCTTGTCACTTCACTTGACATTTTATTGTCAACATATGTTTTGTCTGCTAGTTCAGGATGAGTATGTTCTTTTGTTGCATAAGCTTTGTTAGCTCTTTCTTCTTCTTTTGCTATTGCATCGTCTACATATTCTTTGTCAGCTTTGTTGCCAACATCTGCTTTCAAAAGAAGTTCATCTATAGGTTTCTCGTTTAAAGTTCCTTTTGTTGGATTTACACAGACAGTATGGTTCTTGTTGTCTTGAAATAGAAACTCGTCTGTCATTGGGTTTATCGTCAGTTTTAAGTTTCCTTCTTTCAATGACTCAGATATCTTAGAATAGTTTGAAAAGTTTGTTGTGTTCTTATTTAGAGCTTGCATAATGAGTTGTCGGTTGTGTTGTATTTCTCGCATAGACGCTGTTTCATTTGACATTTTTATTATAGATAAAATATGCTTCCAATAGAAAAAGAAAATTCAAGAGTTGCTACAACTAAACCATTAGATGAACTTTTTACTAATGTCGGTCAAAAGTTTGAGACAGAGACCGTAAAGCATGAAGGCTATCGTTTTGACTACCCATTAAGATGGTTAAGAGACCCATCCGTCACAAAAGCTGTTGGCTTTCGTAGAATGAAGTTCATTTCAGAAGCCATACATGGTTTCCCATTTACGGTCGCTTTTGAAATTCGATACTATAACAAAGAGAAACGTACGTATGAGAAATTTGAACAGGGAAAACTTTTACAAGTGAATTTGCTTGTAAACTTAGAAACAACTCTTCAAGCTTTTCAAGAAAAAATAAACGATATCTATCTCGAATATGCAAAACAGTACAACATTGACGAAGGAGAGTACCATCTCGATATTATATATGACAGGAAAAATGCAACTGTTAAAATCAATAGAATAGAAGACCTTGGAGAAGACGTTTATATTTCTACAAAATATAACAACTTGGCATGGTATAGATTTTTGAGGATGTTAAATCAGCCTGCAGAATATCCAGTACACCCGAACTTTTATGAAGTCGAAAACCCTAATGGAACATATGAAAATGTTTTCGACTCAGATGCTATTATAGTTCATGCTTCATTTTCTGGTGCACAAAACTCTTTTTTATGCTTGGCAAATGACTTTTACGAAAAACCTACAAAGCTATACGAACCACCAAGTGGAAGTATTTCAGACTTTCAAGTATGGTTTACTACAGATGGAAGAAAGAGAATAATTCCATTATACCACGCGTTTTACTTAGAACTTAGTTTCATATACAACTACTATCGAACGGTAAAAATATAATTTTAATACGGTTGAGGTGTTGGATTTGGTTGCCAACTAGACTGTGGTGCAGGTTCAGGCTGTTGTATAACAGGAGCTTGTTCTTCTGGTTCAGGGTCTTTAGGTATAATACCAACGAACTGACCTACTCTTTTACCAATATTTTTGACTCCGTTCCATACTCCCCTTCCGACAGATTTTATTCCATTCCATATACCTCTTCCAACTCTTCTGAAGAAGTTTCCAATACTACTGAAGAAACCCATTTTACTATATGTAAAAATCTAATGTCCGCCTAGTCTCTTACGTTTCCTGTTGAGTTCCATTGCATTCTTTAACTGGAGCTCATACATTCTATTTCTCCTCTGGTAGAAAACATACTCTGGGTCAACTCCTGTGTTCGCGTCATCTGCATAGAGTTGTTTATATCCCACTTCAGGGTTTGTATAAAACTCTTTCCATCTCATATTTGCATACCATGGTGGCAAACCTAACGCAGCGTCATTTGACATGGCAGTTTGCATTTGTACATCTGTTGGCACTTGACCATAGTTTGCCATTGCAGTTTGTATTCTAACTTCATTTGGAATATTCTCTGGGTTTGGTTGTCCAGGTTGCTGTGCATTCGCTAAGTTCTGTGCGTCCATTTAATATTAGATAAAAATATCTCTTACGAGTACATATACTGAACATTTGCAGGCATTGGTTCATCTTCATATTCTCTATATCTTTCTGCCACGTCAAATAAGTAAATGACACAATGGAAAAAACCTAAAACAAGTAGTCCTATTTCAAACCACATTTACTTACTAGTAAAATTTCTTTGTTATGACACTTTCTCCAGTTTATAGGACCTCTCTCATATTCTATCTTATCGTATCTAAACTCATAGTCATGTATGTCCTCTAACCATCTCATGACACTTTCCAAACCACTTTTATCGGATGTAAAGTAAAAGCATGGATGGTTATGTAAAACGTCTAAAGTTTCTAAAGAGTCTCTCAAAGTCCAGTCTACTTGGTATTGAAAATCCCATGTGTTATAGAACGGCGGGTCCACTATAAAGAAAACATTTTCCTTGTCTTTATATTTTTCATACAACTCTGTCCAATGACATCTCACAAACTCTATACCCTCAATATATTTTTCTATGTTCTCTTTGAAAACATTTGTATAGTTAAGATATAAAACTTTTGACATAAGTGTTTCAATGTCATGAACTCTTATAGCACCACTATATAATAGTCTAGCAGATATACTATCCCAGTCAATATACTCTGCTTTTTTCAAAACCTCTCTGACAGTATTTTTCTTATCTAATGGTATACGTTCCATCTTACCTATAGGTATCTTTTCTTTTAACTCTTTCAATATTTTGTTTGTGTCTGGTATATGTTTGAGACGGTTCATATAGTTGTCGAAGTCATTGCATATAATCTTTGAGTCAGGAAATATTGTATGGCACAAATGAGATATATAGAAACTTCCACCGAACAAGTCTACAAATGTTAGACCATTCGGTAGTTTCTTAAGTTCTCTCAATAGAATATCTTTACATCTACTCTTATTTCCAAAGAAGGGTAACGGTGGTTTTGTAAAATTCATTTTATATATATAATAAAAATGTTTTTTCCTGAAAAGTGACAGAAAAGTGACAAAACATGAAAACTACTCGGTCAAAGGTCATATTTTCAGTAAGGACATATGGGGTAGAAAAGAGGTTAGAAAACGGGGTAGATATACCCTTCTACCCTAAAATATATTTTTATTGAATTCTGAGTAAAATTCTGAGTAAAATGACAGATGTTTATATGACACTTTCTCCGGTTTATAGGACCTCTCTCATATTCTATCTTGTCATATCTAAACTCAAAGTCATGTATGTCCTCAAAACTTCATTTCTCCTAAACATCTTCGGGGCTAGAGGGCACGAAGTGCCTGGAAGCCCCACTGCCTTTTTTTTTTTTTTTTTTTTTTTTTTAAATTATTGCATTGATCTGAAATTGTCTTAATTATTTTTTAGAAATTTTTAAATGCTGATTTAATCTAAAAATAAATAGAAAAATTATTATATTTTATGGAGATTAGTACTTTTATTAATAAACGAGAATGAAAAATCCAAAAAATAAAATTATGAAAATTCAATAAAAGAGAATTTTTAAATAAAATGTTTGTTTAATATATATATTATGCAGATCAATAAAAAATATATCTTGTATAAAAAAATTAATATGTAATTTGCAATTCATCAACATTCTTCTTGAATTGGTCAAGCTTATTTGTAAGAGCTTGGAAACCTCTTGTAACTACATTTTCTGGAGATAAGCTGCCGATTGTTTCAACATTAAAGACAAATAATCCGCGTTTGCTTTGAATAACAATAGCGTCCTTATGGCCGTGGACTTCAGCAGTACGAATGCATTGATTGCAGAAGGTGCAATCCTCGAAATTCGCAACTTGAATATTATCGTCGAGTCCCATCTTCAGGCACTTCTTGGGACAGCTAGCAACAACCTCTTCTTTTTCTTTCTGGTCCATTATTTGTTTATAGGCTTCACGGAAATCAATAGAAGCAACTTGATGATATGTAGAAACGCAAACGGGCGACCATTTAGCGTGATTTCTGCCGATACCTTTTCTAATATAAGCGGCAAGCCTCAAAGTTTGGCCAGGTGCAAGTTTTGTAATTGTTACGGGTTGTGGATTTGAATCTCCATTTGCAAAGAGAGTTGCTGGCTTTACACCGATGTGGATACTACCCATTGTTGATTTGTCAGCCCACTTATGTGGAGCGATAAGTTTAAGATCGTTTGATGTAACTTCGACCACACTATCACTTTCTGGCTCACAATGAGCATCAATCGTGTAAATAACTGTGCAATTGGGACAGTAGCCTAATTGTGAACCATCGCAGTTGCACTGTGAGTGATAAAAGAATTTATCAGCGTCTTCAGAAACGAAAGGAATTAAAGCAAGTCTATGAGCAATATATTCATCGGGAAGTGGCGAAGTATTCTGGAAAAATTCAACTGTATCGACTGCAAGTGTTGGAACTTCTGCAATCATAACACGACGAAGAGCGTTTGCAAAATGACGAGAGACGTTCATAAGCCTAAACTCGATGCTATTTGATGTTTTCGCTGTAACGAAAATTTGTGGTGATGATGTATCAGAAGTTGGTCGCTGTGCTGCCATTGACCGCTCTAATATATGAAAAAAAAATTAATTTTGAATGAAAAATAATCGACTATGGCGGCTTCTATATGATATCAATAACTTGTTTTCTCAGGAAATAGCTCTTGTAGTCGTTTGATTTCCATATGGTTTAGGTTTTTGTCTTGGCATTAATCAATTCTGCTCAGAAATTAATAAGATTTAAAGGTTTCTCGTATTTAATGATATCAAAAAGCTTCAAATAAGCATTTAAACATCCATCGGTATTTTCATTTTCTATAAGTCTACGATATAAATACTTTATGCTCCATTTTCTTCAAATTTTTTCATAACAATTGAATTGTTATGAAGAAGATGCAATCATAAGTTCTATTTTACTTATTTATATGCGAAACCAATCCGAAATTATTGAATTAATTTATGAAATATTATAGATAGTAAAAAATATTAATTTGATAACAGATAGTTTTAGATTTTATCAGACTTAATAAGTCATTTGAGATCAAATGCTTTAAGTGCAGCACCAATAGCACCTGCATATTTGTGATTTTCTGGGAAAACAAGAGACAAAATTTTATCAAATAAAGATGCAGCTTTGTAAAGTGATTCTGGAATATTTCCTTCCATAGAAAGGAAACCACCAACAAAAACAAGGCAGTTGACGTTCTCAAAACGGCCAACAGCTGATGCTCCTCGAGAAATTGAATAGCAAATTGCTTGTAAGAGTGATGCTGCAATGTCTTCTTTCGGTGCTGTTTTATTTTCAATTGATGCTTTGGCAAATGATGAAGCAGTGACATCCGCTCTCAGAGTATTGCCGTAATTTTGACCATAAATATCTGAAACGAGTAAGTCTAATGTAGAGGCATTTCCGACGCTTGCTAATCGGATGAGTTCGTCAAAATCATTTACTTGAATTAATAAATTTGAAAGACCCATTAAAGATCCACCTCCTAATGGGGATCCTCCTACATGTCTAACTGTATTGTCTTGTGATAAATATGAAAATGATACGCCTGTACCCATAGATATAACAATACAGGGCGTGAAATTCTGAATATCTGGACCGAGAACACGAACATTACTTCTATCCTTGAGTAAATGAAGTGCCCCGAAAGCTTGAGTACTTAATTCATCAACTTTAACTGGCTTTGGGTTAAGAGTTTCAAAGAACTCTCTAAATTTCACGGATCCACCACCAGTTATGCATATCTTTTCGATGTCCTCAGGGATTTGTTCGATCTGAAGTTTACCTGATTCGTCAGATTTGAAGAAGTTCTTTATATCTTCTATTTTGGTTGGTATGTACATGAGTTTTTTGTTTCCATCTTTTCCAATAAAGCATATCTTTGTAAAGGATCCACCAAGATCAACACCAAGCATGGCCGAATATTGAAGATTTTGTAAATAAAAATTTTTCAATCCTCAGAAAATCAATCATCAATTAGAACGTTTTACTGCTGTGGTGCTATTGAATAATAAATATTTACGAACATGATTTTCTTTGGTCAATTCAAAAAGATTCAATATTTTAATTCAAAATTGTGTGCATTGAAAGCCGAGATTTTGACAAATACAAAATGTAAATGATTATGCAACGTAACAATTTAGGAACTGTAGAAGAATTAATTAAAAAAAAAAAAAAAAAAAAAAGGGAATGGGGCCTCCAGGCACTTCGTGCCCTCTAGCCCCGAAGATGTTTAGTATGCAATGAGGTATAAAATGAGTTTTTTTTGGGTGAAGGGGGCTTCCCAGGCACTTCGTGCCTTCTAGCCCTAAAAATTTTTGAAAGTCGTTGTCGTTGACTTTTCGGTAGAGGACTCAAAATAGTATAACTATGTCCGGACAAGTAAGGGTCTATCGTCGCTACAGAAAAGTTACGGGCGTTCCAAGGAAGTATACTTTGAGAGACTCTTTAGAAACTTTAGACGTTTTACATAACCATCCATGCTTTTACTTTACATCCGATAAAAGTGGTTTGGAAACCGTTATGAGATGGTTAGAGGACATACATGACTATGAGTTTAGATACGATAAGATAGAATATGAGAGAGGTCCTATAAACCGGAGAAAAGTGTCATATAAACATCTGTCAAAAGCCTCTTTTTACTTCACTTAAAATGCCACGTAAGACGTAAGAATATACGTAAGAGGAAGAGAGCATTGAAACATCCAATAGTAAAACTAACACCACAACAACAGTTGCAACAACAAATGCTGAATGACCCCACTATGTTGCAACAAATGTCAAGCAATCCTATGCTTTTAAACCGAGTTTTTGGTGCACAGAGTGGAGGTTTAAGAGCGGCACTTTTAGCGAAAATGGCAGGCTATGGTGGAGCTGCAGACGGAACAGCCTATAACCCTCAAAGTCAAATGAATTTGAGTTCACTCAAAAATCAAATAGCAGATGTCAAAAAGTCAAACATAGACATACAGAAGCAAATAAGTGAAAACGAAAAGAAACTAGAATATGACAGACAGACAAAGAAACTAAATGAGTTAAACGTAGAGAAAAAGAAGAAAGAAGAACAACTGAAAGAACTAAGTACAGAGCAATATGCAAAAAAAGTGTCAGAAAAAGCAGCAGAAGTAGCAAAAATGGAACAAGATGTTGTAAATTTGAAAAACCATACTACTCAATATAAAGTACTGAAAGATGAAGAGATAAAACAAAAAGCCCTGAAGACATATATGGATAGCGATGAGTATAAAAAAGAAGTTGAAGCAAATGTAAAGGCAGAAAAACTTTTACAGTTGCAAAACCAAACCGTACAGTATGAAAACTTAGCACAAGAAAGTAAAAATGACGACGCGGCTATGCAAAAGGCAATGAAAAGCGCAGAATATATAAAAGCTAACAATGACTGGTTAGATGCCCAAGCCAACGCTAAAGCAGCCCAGCTTATAGGGTCAATAAGGACAAAAATACAAGCGGATGAAGACAGTTCAAATGAAGCTTTAATGAATGCTGACTTTAAGAACGCCTTCGAAGCTCTTCATAGTAAGGTGAAACTAGTGAACGACTTCTCATCTGGAAAGAAACTGAAGTCTGAAGGTTTCGACAAAGAGTTAAAAGAAGTAGCACAAAATATGACGAAAATAACAGATGCAGCAACGAGACAGGCAGTTCAAAGTGCCTATGACGCCGTTAGAGCAACTGTTGTGGAAAGTCAAGAAAAAGAGTTACAACAGACCAAAACAGACCTAGTAAATGCTTTCTTAAAAACGAAAAGTCAGGTAGGACATTACGCTGCAGATGGAACATATGTGCCAGCTGGTGGAACATATATACCAGCTGTTGGAATTTATATACCACCAAACCCTCCAAGAGAAGCACCTGCACCAGGACTACCTAAAACATTTACATCGTCACATGGACACAGACACAGGCATGCACCAAAACCAACACAACAACAACCACAACCAGCACAACAACAACAACAACCAACACAACAACAACCAGCACAGCAACCACCTCCACAACCAACACAACAACCACCTCCACAACCAGCACAACAACAACCAGCACAGCAACCACAAACAGAACAAGGAAACCAAGAATTCTTAAAAAGGCTTAAGGAAGACTATGGTTACCCAGATAGTATTGACTTTAGTGACAGATATAAAGAAGCTATTAGAAAGTTCAAGGGAGGAAATACTGACCCGAACCTATTTAGCTTTATGGTTCAGCACCAAATGGGATATAATTTCAAACCTGGAAAATACAAGCTCGCTAAGGGATATGATTTAATAGCATATCATCCAAATGACATGACTGAATTTACTCCGAGATATTTGATGTCAGAGCTAAATGACAATTCAACTCCCGTCATGAAACGCGTAAAAAATAGAGACGGAACGAAAGAAGAAAGGTTTATGAGTCCGGATGACTTAGAAAGGGAACTTGTTAAAAACGGTCTCGGAATATATGAAATGCCAGCAGATGAGGTACAAGAAACTCCACAGGAAGAAGTTCAGATACAACCAGACATGGAAGAAATAGTTCAGCAACAACAGCTAGAAGAGCTGAAGGAAACGAACAAGTCCTCCTTTGGAAACTAACTTCACAGAACTAGATGAAGATTTGGAACAGCCGAAAAATCTTGACCCTCAACAAGAGTATGAGGTGAATATGGAATCTTTCCAAGAGTCTAAAAAAAATTCGGCTGACATAGTAGAAGAATATCGAAAAATGTTTGCCGACATACAAAAGACTCCAACACAGATGAAAATATTCAGCATAGAATGGAAGTACTGAAAGAAAATGTACGCAAATACAACAACCCTTTTTACTTACGAGCATTTAACGTTCAATCTTTGGATGAACTCGGTGAAAATAAAAGGTTAAATTTCAACAAACATATAGAAATGAAACATTGTTTAAAGTTCATTCAGAACCTAACCAAGATGGAAACAAACCTACTTTTGTTTCTGCAGACTATGGAACTACAATGAGATGGGGTCATAAAGCTAATCCGGATAGGTGGTTCATAAACTTACAACCACAATTCCAAGAAGTTGTAGACGCAATGGAAGTGAATGGTGAACCAGATATAGCTGGTATTTTAAGCGCGGCTTTAATGCCATTGAAAGATATGAAAGATGCAGATATTTTGGACCAGTATGAAATGAACATGGCTGATGGAAATATAACACCTGACGTTCTAAAACATTTATCTCAAAGAACTACACAGAACCATAGAGATGGTATATTTGGTGAAGAGTTTAGAAAGAAAGTTAGGGAGGGAGAAGGAAGAGAACCTATTGTACATGACCTTGCAAACGAAAGTTTGCAAAATGTCATAAAAACTTACTTTGCAGACAATGAACTGAGAAGGGATGAATATTTAAGAAAACTCAAATGGACAGTACCAAATGAAATGTTAGTATTGAAAAACATGTTCCTTGACAAAATAAAACCAACTACAGAAATAAATGACGCAAGACTGAAACATTGGGTAAAAGCTTTCCCATTCACAAAAGATATTGTTGGTAACATGGAAAGAAAACCAGAATGGCTACAAAAACATATATTTGGAAACGAGCTTATTCCATATGGACAGGCTCTGTTTGAAGAGCTTGAACCGGAAACTCAGGAAAGAGTCATGCAAACAATACGCGAAGACTCAAATACAAACTTATGACAAACTCTTTCTAGGATATAGGTTACCTGAGATGGGCGACCAGAGCCCAAAGGCAAAAAGGACATGGGAAATTTACAACATACTAGGTGAACATGAGGCAAAGATGCAACAACTTGAAGCAGAGGGCAAGTTACAAAAAGCGACACCAAAGAAGAAGAGAAGAGTAGAACAAAGTGAAAGTAGTGAAGAAGTAACTTCATCTAGTGAAAGTAGTGGCAATGAAGGAAAAAGAAGAGTTAAAAACTCAGTCAGGAAGAAAGTAAAGCTTGGTCGAGTGGGTTCTATTATGATATATAAATCCAACTATTCTATATTTTTACCCATATGAAATGTACGCCGCTCAGAATATAACGCCAACAGTTTTGGATGCCATGAATGGAAATGTTTCCGAATGGTATAACGAATGCGACAATGCCATTAGAAGGTCAGAAATAGTTCCTGGAACTTACGAATATACAACTGCTGTTTCTTATGGAAACGTAGGTGAGTTTGGAGAAGGTTCTTCAACAACAGTAGATATTGCTTGCGACAGGTTTCATATAATTTCTATTGACAACTCATTCTTATACGTGGAACAAGACATTGAAATAAAACCTTCTGCCAAGTTGTCTGACAAGAAAGGTTGCAATGGAATTTTCTATGTCGGATACCAATATGCTCCAGAAGTTTTCATGGGATATAAGATATATTCTAACTCTGACTTAGTTCAAACAGTAACATGGGCAAACTATGAATGGTTCGCTTTGAGAAACTCAGTACAACCACAAGCTAGAGAACAAACAGACCAGTATGCAACTATTGAGAAAATAAGAAGACTTGACCCTAACGTTCCAGGAGTTTATGTTAACCTTTCTGGTTCAGATGGAAATGCTGTCACTAAAGTAAAACTGAAACTTAGAGTTCCTTTGTCATCTTTCCTCATCTTCAGGTTTTTAAGATACTTGCCAAACTGGGCAGGAAAAATTTCTATCGAACTTACTCCAAGCAAAAATAACTTAGTCATTGCACCAACACAAGACCCATTCACTCTTACAGACGTAAAGGGAGCAAATCAAACGTCATTCGCCGACTTTTGCAAAGACAAAGTTGACTTAGACTTTGGTTTCTCAAACCTCAACACTGAAGTAAACTATTATTTCAATGCTGCTGGAACTGCTTGGGACCAGTTAGTTTTCACATGCGAAAAATTTGAATGCAAGAGAATAGAAAGCAGACTTGCAGTCTATATGTTGGACCCAGATATTTCAAATGCTTTAGCTGCCAAATATATTGCAGTTCCACTTATGTTCCCTATACACCAAATATCTGTCAAAGACTTTGCAGGTGAAGTTGGAAACCAAAGTGCTGACCCAGGTGCAAGAACAGATATTGCTTTAACAACTGCAATGAAACATGCAGATACTATGTTTGTACTGTTCAGACGAACTATAAATGACTATTCTTGTTTCTACAACCCCGGTATTAAATATCATATAAACATAGATGGCAAATATTATCCAAGAGAAGAATATTCTACAGTTGAAGATATGAGGTCATACAACTTGACATTAGATGCTATGAACTTTAACAACAACTTCACAACAACCATTAACCCTGAAATGCAAAGTTCTATTATGCCATATGTGAAAGTATGGACTCATGCAGGAGGTCAAAAAACTCAATATACAAATAGAGACCGTTCAAACTTTTGGCTTGGCATTCCATTTGCTGACTCAGAAGACTTTATGGGTGGTATTTCAACTGTTGGTACAGTTCAAATACAATATACTGGTGACAGAGACGGTCCAGATGAACTGAAAGCAAAGAAGTTTACAAAAAATAGCACTTTTCACGGAAGATGCTCTTTTGAAGATTCGTTCGATGAAACCTGCTGGAGCTCCTCAGATTGGCATAACGACAGCTTCCATCGAGCAGATTTTGGCAGCAGGTCAGTAAGTTGTTCTTGAACTGACTTCTCTCCGTCAAATATTGACAGTACGCCAGTTTTGACATAAAATTGTATTATAAACTTTCCTTTAGAAATATCTGTAAGTTTTGTTGTTATATTTTTGTCAACGTCAAGAACTTTCACCATTTCGGTTATACCAACTTTCTTTGCTTTATGAAAATATTTTGGTTCAGCAAAGACTGCTATTCTATAACATTTTCCATTGTTTGTGTAAAGAACTATTCTGTCAATGTATTTGTATTGTTTGTGAGTATAAACTTTGTTCTGCTTCAATTCGAAGAGATACTCAAATACGTCCATATTTTTATTTGAAGTAAAATGTCATTTCCGAAAAATAGAAGCGTAAGTGTTTCAAAAGGTTTAATGGCGGTGGCAGATGTGAAGTTAAATTCACCAACTCAAACAAACAGTCAAAGTGTTATTGTCAATGTCAAAGAAAGAGATGTTGAAATGGGGAAACCATACGAAGACGAAAATGGTATAACAATAGTTCCTGTAAAAGAACAACCAACATACCCTGAAGTTAGCAGAGACTTAAGTTCTGTTGCAGATATTCGAAATGACTACCAACAACTTAAAGACAAACTTCAAACTCAGGAGAAGATTTGTCAAGCTTTAGGTATAATGTTAAACTTGGTCGAACACAACCCTGTAAAAGTGAACTCATATGTCATTGCACCTCATGAAGTTTTGAAAGAACTATTGAAACTTTTGACAGAGGCAGACGATATAAACATCAAAGAAATAGAACCCGACATTGCTTGCTGTGGTGTTTCATATAATGTCATTGACAAGATATACGTTATGAAAGGAGGTGAGACGTTGAACTTAAAATATAGTTTCCCAGACGTTATAAAAATATTTGACGACCACAACATTTCATTAAAATTTAGTTGCTAAGTAAATGGCAGAAGACATAGTGGTTTATACTATTACGACTAAAAACCCTGAGTCATATAATTCTATAACAACAAACTTACAAAGTCCTCAAGGACGATATTGTAAACTAACCTTAAACACAATGACGACTAAAGCCTGTTTTGCTCTTTTGACACCAGAAGACTTTGTTGTTGTGAATGGTAAAAAATACTTCTTTGAAGATACTTACTCAGATATACCACCAACAGGTTTTGTTGACTTATTTAATACTTTAAGGACGGATGTAACATGTGCTGCAACTAGAGCAGGTTTCATTATGTTTGGATGTCCGACTGAGTTTAGTATAAACGATATGAGCTATAATACAAAACTTATATCTGGTTTTTACTACCAACAGTTTCCTATAACAGGAAAAGGTGTCATACAAGGAATGTCTGTTCCATTGACTTTAAGTACACCTATTTTATATATTGTTTCAAACTTAGGTTCAAAGTGTTATTCGAATGTCGACAGAAACTACTATGACCAAAAGATACTCATGCGTATAAACAACACATTCTCTGCTGGTTTGCCTATTGTTCATTCGAATGCAGAGTTTTCAGCTTTAGTAAACTCAAACACTTTAGCAAACATAAACTTAACCTTAGTCGACGCAAACTTTGTTCCTGTAAAACTTTTATGTCCTATGTATTTGTCAATGACGGCAGAAAGTTTCGAATTGGAAGATGCAACTGGTGAAAGTATTGTACTACAAGAACAACTTCAACAACAAATAGCTCAAGAACAACAAATGCAACAAATGGAACAAATGCAACAACAAAGTCAAGAATAAAAAAAATATTTTTTTTTATTTTTATAAAAATGTACAGAATAGATGTTTCAGATTTTTATGACTTCCAAGCGTTCAGAAATATGTGTCCATTTCGAGACTATAACAAAGCAGTCGAGAATTTGAAACGTTTAGTCATTTATGTCGACTCTGCCCCAGAATGTTATGTCATGAAAGAATGGGATGTTGTCTTTAACAAACCAAGAGCGACAATAGTTTCAGAACAAGAATGTAACAGAAACTTAAGAAAATAAAAGTCGTACAAGTTGGTATGAAGATGTTAGATGCTTGGGATATCTTATTGTCAAAACTTGAAGATTTTTCAGTTCGTGGTATAAAGTTCTATACACCATTCTCCAAACTTCTATTCTATCTTCACTGGATATAAATACGAACAAGTAGAATGGAAAGAAAATGTTATAGAAGCTTGGTTAGACCATGTCAAAGAAATTATATGCAATGGAAACGAAAGAGTCTATGAGTATATCTTATGTTGGTTTGCAAACATCTTACAACATCCAAGTGCTAAAAATGAAACTGCTCTCATCATAATTGGAAAACAAGGAACAGGTAAGAACACTTTCTTTACAGATATTTTGTGCAAACTGTTAGAGGTTATTCGAACCCGAATATGACAAACTTAGAAAACATCTGTGGCAAATTTAACTCTTCAATAGAGAATATGAAACTTATAGTATGTAACGAACTTCAAAGTATAGATACAACAAAAGTTTTGAACTCAGATGCTTTGAAGAGTCTTATAACAGACAAAGTTGGAGTTGTTGAAAGAAAATATAAAGACCAAAGAGTTTGTGAAAATGTTGCAAACTTCGTCATGGTTTCAAACAATGCTGTTCCGATGAAGTTAGAAAGTTCTGACAGAAGATATGTAGTTGTCAGAACGTCAGATTCTCATATGCAAGATACAGAATATTTTGACGACTTAGCAGAAACTTTGACATCTGACTTTTACAACCACTTGTTCTCATATTTCATGACATTAGATATTTCTAAGTTCAATCCAAGACAAATTCCACATACCGAAGAGAGACAAACATTGTTAGAAGCAAACAAGAGTGTATATGAACTGTTCATAGATGAAACTGACTTTGAGTGTTTAGATGAAAGGTCATTGTACGATTCGTATAAACAGTATTGTCAAGAGTATGGTTATATGACAGCGTCTAAATGAACATTCTTGGCAAATGTCAAAAGTCTTTTAGACGTACAGAATGGTGTATATACAAAGAAAAATTTTTCTGAGTAAATTTTAAAAAAAAATATTTTTTTTATCCGATAGAAAAGATGGAAAATTCATCTCAGTAAACAAGTACATGTCAGGACTTAAAGAAGAACTAGACCCATTCACATATTTGAATGTTTACTTCTACCATTTTGAAAAGTCTACATTTGACAAAGTTTGGAACATCGAACCGGTTAAGTTTGCTATTGTGACTAAAAATGGTGCGAAATTTGAAGACTTAGACATAGAAGGTTTGTTAACAGTCAAAGAAAGTTTTGACAGAAGGTTTTCAAACCTTAAAGAAGGCAAAGCATACAAACTTGTTATACCTTATGAACCAAAGAAAGCAGACGACTATGAATATTATGAGTCTAAGTTGTAGAAGTTCAAGGTAAATTGGGTAAAAAGATTTTAGAGTCTAAGCCGGTGTTTGCTCCTAAAGAGGAAGAGAACATTGACATTGACCCAGAAATGTTCTAAAAATAAAATTTTATTTTTACATGTCAAATTTCTTTTCTCTGGCTCTGGTTCTTTCTTCTCTTCTTCTACTTTCTTTTCTTTCTTTTCTCTCTTCTTCTTTTCTGGTGGAGTTATGTCAAACTTCTCAGAACCATATTTTTGTAAAAGTTCTTTGTCCTTTAATAGCTCTTCTATTCTGTTTTCTATTTCATCTTCAAGAACAGCGCATGTGTCTTCTTTGCATTCTAAGAAGTTTTGTTGGACTTCATCTCTCCAAGAGGCGTCATCTCTGTCAACAAGTCTGTCATTGACAAATTTTAAGACTGCTCTGCTTAATGTTTTATGGTTCTTGTCATATTCCCAGAAACAGAACTTTAGAACAAATTCACCTTTCTTGTTTACACTATGTAAGATTTTATGGTCTACAGATGTTTTGCTGTCGAAAAGCTTGTCTCGAATATAGATGGCGAAATCGCTAGACATTTTCTAAAAGATAAAAGTTTTAATTTTTCTAAAAATATGTTAGAAAAAAAGTTTGCTGACATTGACAAAAAATTTGAGAATGTTTTAAATAAGAAAAGAGGAAGTTGGAAAATGCTCAGATAAAACCATACATGACAAGTTCTTATTTGCTCAGAATGGTATAACAGGTCTAATTGCACCACCTGGGTCGGGTAAGACTTTCACTTATCTTAAAATGGCTGCACAACAACAAGAACTAGATGAGAAGAACCCATTCTATGAGTTAGTAGTCATTTGTAGTACTTCGGTCAATTTGACCAAACCGTCAATTCGTTCAAAGATATTATAAAAAAGTCAAAACTAGTATGTATAAAAGACTCTGAGTTGTTGATTGGATAAAGAAGTACCAAAGAAGGTTTTGAAGTACAATGCTATAAATGAGTATGTCAATTCTAAGTTTAAAGACCCAAATGAGGAAATGCAGAGAATATTAGAGAAGAAACACTTCAGAAACAAACAGAAAGAGATAGAATACATTTCGAAGAAATTGCAATCTTACGATTGGAAGACTTACCCTCATAGATGTCTTCTTATCTTAGATGATTTCGCCTCTCATCCTTTGTTAAAGAATAGAGAACAAGACATGTGTCGAATTCTTAAGAAGCTCAGACACTTTAACATCTCTGTTGTCATTTGTGTACAGACAGCAAAGAGTTTAAGTAAGGATGTAAAGAGAATACTTACTGACATTGTACTTTTCCCCGGATTGTCCGAAGACGATTTCATGGAACTTATGAAAGAGTCCATGGCAGGTAAGTTTGACAGACATGAACTATGGGAGAGGTACAAAGTCATACAAGACCCTCATACTTCTTTCAGAATTCATATCTACGCAAACAAAGTTCAAATTGTAAAAAGTCAAGCGTAAAAAATGTAAGTGTTGAGTCTTAGTCTGTTGTGGTGCTGGGGCTTTCGGTTCTTCTGGCTTTGGAATGGACTCGGTTGGTGGTACGTCGGACATTCGTTTGTGTCCTGTCGGAAGGAAGAACTCGGAATGCCAGAAGGAAAAATTTTTCCTGTTGGAAGGAAGAACTTTTCCTGTCGGAAAGAAAAACTTTTCCTGTCGGAAAGAAAAACTTTTCCTGTCGGAAAGAAAAACTTTTCCTGTCGGAAAGAAAAACTTTTCCTGTCGGAAAGAAAAATTTTTCCTGTCGGAAAGAAAAATTTTTCCTGAAGGTCGGCCAAAAAGTTCTCAATTTTCGAAAATTTGAATGGTTTACGGACGGACAACTGGAAAAATTTTTCCTGTTGGAAAGAAAAATTTTTCCTGTCGGAAAGAAAAACTTTTCCTGTCGGAAAGAAAAACTTTTCCTGTCGGAAAGAAAAACTTTTCCTGTCGGAAAGAAAAACTTTTCCTGTTGGAAGGAAGAACTTTTCCTGTTGGAAGGAAGAACTTTTCCTGTTGGAAGGAAGAACTTTTCCTGTTGGAAAGAAAAACTTTTCCTGTCGGAAAGAAAAACTTTTCCTGTCGGAAGGAAGGACTCGGAATGCCAGAAGGACTCGGACAAGACAATTTACCTTATAGAGCTACCTGAGCCATCTTTGGTGTCAAGCTTGAAAAATAAATGGTTCATCTACTCTGCTTGTTTGAAGTTGTCAAAATACTCTGTTATTTTTTCTTTCAGTAGCGGTAAATCTTCTTTGAAGGTAAGTATTGTACAACCTTTCATATCATAGTGTGTTTGAGGTAACGTATCTTGAACTATTTGTTTAACATCTTCATTCGGTGTCATTGAAATCGGTAAGTTTTCGCGATAGAACCAATTTCTGTCAGATTTGTAAATCTTAGCAAGGTCGTAAAAGCTTTTGTTGTTTCTTCTGACTAAATGCAACATAACCATATCTCTGTCTTCTTCATTTTCCATCTCTTCAGTATAAATCATATACTTATAGTTCTTTTCCTTACCTTTTGGTACCGAACGTGGTATTCTTTTCTGTATGTTTTTGTCTTTTGCTTCAATGACTTCATCTTTTGCTTGAAGTTTCTTTTCCATCTCTTCACGTTCTTGTCTATGAATTTCATCTAACATCATGAAAATATAACAAGCGTAACGAGGTGAAGCCCACATTGCAACAGCATTTACAAGAAGTCTATGTACATACCAACCTCTCAAACCATTTGGCAAATTTTGACGATTTTCGTACGGAATCTCGACCCTCGGTTTTCCGAGGGTCGCAAACATATGAGGAAATTCTTCTAAAAGTTCTTTTGTCTGTTGGTTTTCAAACCAATGATATGCTTGCTTTGTAGAACGAAGAGCATTCAAAATACTTTGCATTTGGTACATGTCATCTTTGACCGAACGAATGAGACGTAACTGTTTGTTATACTGAACCCACTCGTATTCTTCATTTATATCTTCATGAACGATAGCAGTTGTTGTGTTCTCTGTTGTTGTCATTACTGTCTTTACATACAAAATAAAAAAATAAAAAAAAATAAAATTAGCGTTATTTTCTATCTTGTATAAAAGACCAAAAATAAACGCTTTACATGTATTTTTCAGCAACTTCGTCAAATAATTTTATAGCACTATCTATCTCATCTACTTCAAACGTTTCTTTACCTTTCATGGGAGCACCATACATTTTCTCAAACTTTTCAAGTAGTTCTGTTTCTGCAGCTCTCATATCGTTAACGAACACAACCTTAACTCTATTGACTGTACTGTCATATCTTTTAGTTATATTAAATGTTCTTCCTATCTTATATCTCTTTGTATTGAAGTCCTTCGGTTTCTGAACGATATAAAGTAAGCCTTCACTGCAACGTTCAGTATCGAATGAACCATATGTTATGAAATTATATCCAACAACTGGGTCAATCCAGAACAAAACTATTGGTATAAGACTTTTGTCTATAAGATATGCTCTTGTTCCATGAAATGCTACTGATATCATAAGCTCAGGATTTCTTGTCAAAATTTTCTGACTAGAAGCAATTCTAACCCAGTCGTGGGATGTTTTCTTTTCAGATAGTGTTAAAATGTCTGACAAAGAATATTTGTTGTATTTCTTTGAGTATCTTACGTTTAAATCACCAATTCTAACCACTTTGGTCTCATTGTCTATCTTTTTAACTGTTTCAAACTCAATGTTTGTCATTTCCTGTTCTTACATACAAAATAAAAAAAAATATTTTAAAAAAACTAGCGTTATTTTATTTTGTATAAAAGATACAGTTATATCATGAAATTTGGTCATTTTTTTACGATTTTCATGTGTTTTAGGCGTTCCTCGGTTTTCCGCGGGTCGCAATTTTTTACGATTTTCATGAGTTTTTTCACTGTTTTCATAGAGTTTTGGCGACCAGGGTTTTTCTCCCACTCGCAATTTTTTACGATTTTCATAAGCGTTTTACATGGTAAACGTCATTTTTTTTACGAAGTGCAAAAGTTCTCTTCGTCAAAAAAACAGTTATTTCATAAGTTTTTTTCACTGTTTTCGTACGGAATCTCTATCCTCGGTTTTTCGAGGGTAGCAAACATATGAGGAAATTCATGAAATTTGGTCATTTTTTTCAGCAAAAATATATTTTAGGTGGAACCAGGTCACCAGGTCACCAGGTCAAATGAACTTCTCTGAAAAAGTGTGACAACATGACATTTTGACAACAACACAGGAAATAGATTTCTTCGTAAATGTTTTGTCAAGATTTCATCGTCAATGAGCGTAAATCAGACAAAAATGAGTTTTGGTTGAAAAAACAGGTGGAGCCAAAAATGGCTCGACCTCAAAACAAGCATTTTGTGAAGAATATACCAACCCGCGGAATTCCGGCGGTTGCTTTTTTTATACAAAATTCAAGAGTTTTGCGTGTTTTCTACGATGTTGTCAAAATGTCATGTTGTCAAGATTTCATCGTCAATGAGTGTAAATCAGACAAAAATATATTTTAGGTGAAGAGGTGAGATCTCACCTGTTTTCTCACCTCTTTTTTCACCCCATATGTCCTTACTGAAAAAGTATGTGTTCCATATGTCATTTTACTCAGAATTCAATAAAAATATATTTTAGGTGAAGAGGTGAGATCTCACCTGTTTTCTCACCTCTTTTTTCACCTCAGTTATTTTATAAGCGTTTTACATGAATTGTACGATGTATATTTGAAATCCTAAACAGTTTCGTAGCTTCTATTTCTTCTTTTAGTACATCGAATGTTTTAACAATGCCGAATGTTTCTTTATATTTCTTCTTGACATCTGAAAGAAGGAAATCGTCAGCAGTTGGATAGTTTTTGTTCAGAAATGCTAACATGTCCATTTTATCTTCTGCTGGTTTCTCTGCTTCTTTCTTTAAGTCAGCATAGTCGTTTCGCATACGTTCTATCTCTTTGACGGAGTAGTTATATTTCCTCATTGCTGCTTTACATTTAGAACATTGTGGGTTCATTTTTGCGTTATATTCTGAAACCTTACCTGCAAGTATGACTAAGGCGTCAATGGTTTTCTTTAACTCAAAAGTTGCGGGTTTTATCTGTTGGTTCCATACCTTACCTCTTCTATCTTCATCTCTTATCTGCCATACACATTCAGCAACTAACGAAACAAAGTTGTCGTAGGTCTTAAACTCCCCAGATTTGTATATGTCAGAGATGTTCTTATATAACATGTCGCAGTCTTTGTCCATGACTTTGTGGTTGCAATGAAATCCAAGAAACTCATAGTTTGCCTTACGTATGAACTTCTTGGTTTCAACTGAGTCAGTTGCTTTGACTTCTATTTCATCGAATTCAGGAATAGTGAGCTTTTGTTGTTGGATTTCAGGAAGTTTAGGTAGATGGTCAATAATATCCTGCATTTCATAAAGATATTCTTCATTTGTTTCATCTTTTGCAGTGCAATCTAAATCTCCTTGGAGAAGTTCTTGCTTTATCTTCTGGATTGTTGTTTCGAAAGTATATGAAGAAGGAATGAAGCTTTTCATCTCTACTAACATAGATGTTGGGTTCATGACTAACGAGTTTGGTGCTGTTGTTGCTAACATGTTCTTACAATAAAAATAAAAAATATTTTTTTAAAAAAACTAACTTTATTTTTATTTCGGGAAAATTCATGAAAATTCAACGGGTGAAAAAACAGGTGAAAAAACGGGTGAGATCTCACCTCTTCACCTAAAATATATTTTTGCCGAGTTCAGCAACAAATTCAAGAGTTTTGTGTGTTTTCTACGGTGGAGCCAAAAGTGGTTCGACCTCAAAACAAGCATTTTGTGAAGAATATACCAACCCGCGGAATTCCGGCGGTTGCTTTTTTTATACAAAATTCAAGAGTTTTGCGTGTTTTCTACGATGTTGTCAAAATGTCGTGTTGTCACACTTTTTCAGAGAAGTTCATTTGACCTAGGCACATAGGCACATAGGCACACTTCAGTTCTTCACCTAAAATATATTTTTGTCGAAAAAAATGGTTCATTTACTCACAATATTTTTGTACAAAACGACCCCAAACTTTTAACCTCTCTTCTGCAGCTTCAAATGCTATCTTAGCGAGTTCATATTCTCTAAATTCTCTCTTTAAATCTTCTTGTTCCCATTGGTCTAGTTCGTATGGAGAATCTCTATAACCAGAACATATCTCACGTTCATGTTCTATTTGTTTTTCATGCATTTTTCTAACTTCTTGTTCGAACAAAGGTTTTGCATTCTCTACTGTATCTTCAAGTTCTTCTTCATCTAATTTCTCATGAACTTTCTTGTCTATGGAGTCCAAAATTTTTCCAACTGCTATACAATATTTTGGAGAAGCCCACATTGCTATATAGTTTACGAGTCTTGGGTCTACATACGTTCCTCTAACCTGTTTGATTTCATCCGGAATTCCTGCATGAATTTTGTATAAAAAGCAACCCGCGGAATTCCGCGGGTTGGTATATTCTTCACAAAATGCCGTATAATACTCTTCCCAGGACTTATTTTCCAACAACCTTCTAAAGTCTTTCCCAAACTGCTGACATATCTTTGTTGCATTTATATAACCATTCCTTGTCTCTACGTAAGACTTCAATACCGTTGTAAGTGCCTTTTTGTGAATGTTTGCCATTAGATTTGTTCGTGAACGTTTTTGCTTCGACTGTCATTTCAGTTCTTACAATAAAATTAAAAAATATTTTTGGGTGGCTTAACCGTCGGACATTCGTTTGTGGCTTAACCGTCGGACATCCGTTTGTGGCTTAACCTCAAAACAAGCATTTTGTGAAGAATATACCAACCGCCGGAATTCCGGCGGTTGCTTTTTTATACAAAATTCAACAGGTGAAAGAATACGATGAAGAAGTCATGACAAAACATTTACGTTCATGTTTGACAAAAACATTGACGATGAAGAAGTCTATTTCCTGGACTGTTGTCAAAATGTCATGTTGTCACACTTTTTCGGGGAGGTTCATTTGACCGAGGCACACATGGGCACATAGGCACACTTCAGTTCTTCAAAACATTGACGATGAAGTTTATTTCCTGGACTGTTGTCAAAATGTCATGTTGTCACACTTTTTCGGGGAGGTTCATTTGACCTGGTGACCTGGTGACACCTAAAAAAACATCTACCCTAAAATATTTTTTTTCTATCTTAAGGAAATTCATGAAAATTCAACGGGTGAATTTTATATAAAAAGCAACCCGCGGAATTCCGCGGGTTGGTATATTCTTCACAAAATGCTTGTTTTGAGATCTCACCATCTAACCAAAACTCATTTTTCAATACTTTTTCAATACTTTTCCGTAGTTGTATATGAAAGACAATTCGAGATAAAAGTCATAGTACAATGGAATAATATGCTGCACACCGTTTGTTGTGAACCAAACTTGAAAGTCAGAGAAACTGTTACTAGGTGGTTCGTAGAATTTAGAAGCAAAGTCATAAAAGTCCTTACCGATACATAGAAAACTGTTGTTGCTTGAACTGAAACTTGCATGACACATGACATTTTGAGGGTCAAACACGTTTCTATAAACTGTCAAATCTGCTGGTGGAAGTATAAAATTAAATGGACCATCTGGTGGTAATGGTTCGTTCTGGTTTAGTAACCGAAGAAATTGTGCCCAAGAACGTTTGTCTACTCCCCAATATAAAAACTCTGTATCTCTTGGAGGGTTAATTTCAATCTTTTGAAATGAAACTGTGGAGTTCATCTTGTTATATTCTAGTTTCAGATAGTATGTTCCATTTAGTAAAGAGTGGTATTTTTCTTGAAATTCCCAGTAGTATTTGTTTATTTGAGTTTGAAAGTCATTTAGAGTTTTTTCAAGACTTTCGTCTGAACGAATTGTAAAGATTTTCATTTCGTCAAATTTTTCTATTAGACCATCAGAACCTTTATACTGACCATGAAAATATACTGCGAACATAAACGCGTTAGTTCTATTTGAAAACAAAACTCTTCTAAATCCTATTGCCTTTGC